CATTTAATATAAATCAAAATGTTTGAGGTCCAAAGATAGTAGATAATTCAGTCAGCTTCATTTGATAGTTTCTGTCATGAAATTATTCAGTCAAGAAAATTGGTGAGACTTTCTGTGCCAGAAACTCTAATGTTGATATAATGTTAATATTATTTGGTATTTCATATCCATTTGGTGTGGTTTTGGGTGAAAAATAACTTAAATAAACAAATAAACAAACAAACAAATAATAAAATAAAAGAGTAGTCATTGTTCAAATAGTGCTATGGACTGAACGTGTCCTCCCCAAATTAGTTGTAGCCTTAATCCAGTATGATGGTATGTGGAGGTGGGGCCTTTGGGGGGTGATTAGGTTTGGTGAGGTCATGAGGGTAGAGCTGCTAGGATGCGATTAGTGCCCTTATAAGAGGGGGAAGAGCCTAGCACGCTCACTGGCGTGCGCACTCCAGCCTCCTATCCCCTCAGTGTGGCGATACAGCAAGAAGGTGGCTGTCTGCAAACCTAGCGGAGGGTCTGCACCCAACAGCAAATCTGTCATGACCTTGATCTTGGATTTCCCAGCTTCTAGAACTGTGAGGAAATAAATTGTTTTTGCTGGCCAATCTATGGTATTTTATAATAGCATCCTAACTAATACAAGTAGTATAACTTCTCAAGTGCTATTGCTGTAAAAAGTCATTAACTGAGTATCCATTGTATAAGATAAGTTTGAACTACATAATTTGCTCTCTCGCCCCCTCCCCTTCCTTTCTTCAGGGTCTCCTCAGTGGTGTTGGCTGTGAAATGGGCTGGCAGAGATGTGGAAGGGAACTCCCCATTGATTTTTTCTAATATCTCTTATTTCGTACAATGACTAAAAAACTGTTCACTTTTTTTATCATTTGGTTTCAATATTAAATCCTATATTAGTCTGTGGTAGTTACTGACTTCTGTTAAGAATAAGATTCCAGAAAATCAACTCAGTGTTACCAGATAAGTCTCCACTGATTTCCTATATTCCTTTGTGGCCTGAGCCAAACATATCCTTCCAATCAAAGGCTATGTTTGTACAGCAAACAGCCTTGGAAGCCAGAGATAATATATTCTTCTGGAGAGATTTGAAGACATCCCAGGATAGTAAAGATGTATTGCTCTTCTTCCCTCCCTGGAGAGATCTGCTTAAATTCCAAGGTAATGAGTAATCTTCCTCTCCATAGGGGAAGACAGGTAGATGTGCCTGCAGCCCATAAAAGTTTCAAGTCTCCAGTTTGGGGGTTTCTCTCCTGTGGAGCATCATTGCATGTACAGATATCCATCTGGCACTTATCACATCATCTCTCAGGAACTAGCGCATGGGGAACTGACACAAGATGCTGCCCTGGCTACATGAGAATGATAAACCATCTTTGCCTCTGACTTGTCTTCTGCAGTATATGTACATAAAATCATGGCACGCTAACTTGTTAGTTTGCAATTAGGGTAAAATCTCAGATGTTTCACAGTTTCAGACTTAACATTGAGTTTTCAAAATTCAAAGAAAGTGATTAGGGAACATTCTGGCACATTCTCCCACAAACATGGCACTGCCAACTATCCTTTTGTGTTAAGCACTGAAGTGAAATATAGTCTGAATTTTAAAACAGTGTCTTGTACTATGAGAGAAATATAACTTATCAAAAATAACCAAGAGTTTATTTAAGATTTTTTATGTGGAAACTGACCAATTTTGCTTTAGTTTAGCTTTATTTAGACTTAGTTCAGGATTTCTTAGATGACACAAACTAATGATATGATTAATCTTTTTTAACAATAGCTTGACAAGATGTTGTACCCTTACTTATTTCTTTTTGTTTGCAAGAAACATCTATATTCAAACTTCAAGAACTTGGCAAATATTTATCTCAAGCAATTTCAACAGGAAAATTATGCTCTGACTCAAAAGTTATTATTCTGAATGCCCTAAAATATTTTTGCCCTTTGTGGATGATGATGTCTATTGCTCACAGCCACTGTACCACTTTTATGTTGCGGGAGTGGGTAGAGAGTTCTTGATTGCTGGGAAATGGAAGCCTCTCTAGCCTCAGGAGGTAAAACTGTCTATGATAATTCCTTTGCCAATAATGGGCCCAGAATGGACAAGTGACCCATTCTGGCTAAAGAGATACAAGAAAAAAATTTGCTGGGAAGAGGCATCTCATCCTAAATAAAAAGACTAAGGCTTCTCAGGAAAAGTTGCCCTTTTAATCATTCTTTGGAATGTGGACATGATGTCTTGGTTTGTCACAGCCACTTGGGGACTATCATGAGAGTATAAGCCAACACATTCTGATGACAGAGCACAACACTAGGAAGAGCAGGGTTCTCAAGAGCACTGTTGAATAGCAGAACCAACTTTGGCAACCCTCACTTACCAGCTTCCCCCTGAATGAATAAAATAAACTTTTGCTTATTCAAGCCACCACAAAGTCAGATTTTTTGTTCTAAGCAACTGAGTGCGTTCATAATTGATATGCAAAGAGGTCTCATGAAGAAGATATGTTGGTAAGAAAATAACCCAGTAATTAATTTACTACCTTAGCATTTACATTTTAAAGCATTTATGGAGTGCCTGGGTGGCTCAGTTGGTCAAGTGTCTGCCTTTGACTCAGGTCATGATCCCAGGGTCCTGGGATCAAGCCCCCCATTGGGCTCCGCACTCAGTGGGGAGCCTGCTTCTCCCTCTCCCTATGCCCCCTACTCATGCTTGCTCTGTCTCTCTCTCTAGTGCTCTCTCCCTTTCTCAAATAAATAAATAAAATTTAAAAAAAATTTTCAAAGCATTTATATCAGTTATCAAATGGTTTGCAATACTGGTGATTTTTTTTTAATCAAAGTCTGACACAAAGACACTTACTTCCTTTAACTGTTCTTTTGTTGCAGGATTATCATCCACGAATATAAAAATTTGGCTTTTCAACCATAAGGGTACATTTTATCAACAAGATTATTATCCCAATCTTTCTCCAGATTTAGGAATGTCATTTTTGCTTTAGATCTTTTCCTTCTATAATGGCATTTGAAATTTAGACATATAGATTGACTCATTCTAAATAGTTAATAAGGTCCAAAGGAAACATTTATAGATTTTTTTAACTAGTAATTTTACGAAGGCCAGGAGGACAAATATTTGACTAACCCTCCTGTATAGTTTCTCCCTCTGAGCAAGAGAGGGCTTCAAATTCCTTCTGGAAACATAAAATAAAGTAAATTTAAAATCTCCCTATTCCAGATAGCTACTAGCAACCAATCAAATAATACAAAAGTTATATATAGCCTTCATCTAGTGGTTTAACAGTTAATTTTAATCTTCATTTTAATCAATTAGTAGATGTTTTAAGCATAAAACTTCTCTCCCTTATGGCATTTCAAATGAAATAAGTACAATAAGCCCACTACAACTGACAACTTTACTAACTCCATAATCACACAGATCCAAATAATTCCCCCAAATATAACAACCACATAACCGAAAAGGTTTACCTAGGTTCAATATTTGCAAATCAATCAACATTATACATCACACCAAAAAGAGAAAGGATAAAAACCACATCCAAATTGGTAAGGAAGAAATAAAACTTTCACTATTTGCAGATGACATGATACTATATATAGAAAAGCCTAAAGACTCCACCAAAAAAACAAAACAAAACAAAAAAAACCTACTAGAACTGAAAAATGAATTCAGTAATGTCTCAGGACACAAAATCAATGTAGAGAAATCTGTTGCATTTCTATACACCAATAATGAAGCAACAGAGAGATTAAGAAAACAATCCCATTTACAATTGCACCAAAATAATAAAGTACCTAGGAATAAACTTAACCAAAGAGGTGAAGGACCTGTACTCTGAAAACTAAAACACTGATGGAAGAAATTGAAGATGACACAAAGAAATGGAAAGACATTCCATGCTTATGGATTGGAAAAAAGAAATATTGATAAAATTTCTATACTATCCAAAGCAATCTACACATTTAATGCAATCCTTATCAAAATACCAACAGCATTTGTCACAGAACTAGAACAAACCATCCTAAATTTGTATGGAGCCACAAAAGACCTCGAATAGCCAAAGCAATCTTGAAAGGAAGACAATATCACAATTCCAGACTTTAGGTTATATTACAAAGCTTTAGTAAACATAGTAGTATAGTACTGGCACAAAAATAGATACATAGATCAATGGAACATAATAGAAAACCCAGAGATAAACCCACAATTATATCAGCAATCATTCTTTGACAAAGGAGACAGGACTATGTAGTGGGAAAAAGTATCTTCAACAAATACTGTTGGGAAAACTGCACAAACTACATGCAAATGAATGAAACTGGACCACTTTCTTTCACCATACACAAAAATAAATTTAAAATGGATTTAAGACCTAAATTTGAGACCTGAAACCATAAGAATCCTAGAAGAGAGCACAGGCAGTAATTTCTCTGACATTGGCTGTAGCAACATTTGTCTAGATCTCCTAAGGTGAGGGAGATAAAAATAAACTATTGGGGCTGTATCAAAATAAAAACCTTCTGCACAGCAAAGGAAACAATCAACAAAACTAAGAGGTAACCTATGGAATGGGAGAAGATATATGCAAATGACATATCTGATAAAGGTTCAGTATCCAAAATATATAAAGAACTGATACAACTCAATACCCCAAAAAACAAATAATCCAATTAAAAGTGGGCAGAAGTCATGAACATTTTTTCAAAGAAGACATACAGATGACCAACGGACACATGAAAAAGATGCTCAACTTCACTCATCATCAGGGAAACATGATGAGAGATCACCTCACACATGTCAGAATGGCTAAAATCAAAAACGTAAGAAAGAACTAATGTTGATGAGGATATGAAGAAAGAGGAAACTTTGTGCACTATTGGCAGGAATGCAAACTGGTGCAGTCACTGTGGAAACAGTTCCTCAAAAAATTAAAAATAGAACTACCCTCTGATCCAGTAATCCCACTACTGGGTATTTACCCCAAAAATACAAAAACACTATTTGAAAGGGATACATGCACCCCTGTGCTTATAGCAGCATTATTTATAATAGTTAAGTTATAGAAGCAGCCAAATGTCCATCGATAGATGAATGGATAAAGAAGAAGTGGAATAAAAAGGGGAGGAGCAAGATGGAGGAGGAGTAGGAGGCCTAAATTTCATCTGGTCCCAGGAATTCAGCTAGATAGGGATCAAACCATTCTGAACACCTACGAACTCAAGAGGAGATCGAAGAAAAGAATAGCAACAACTCTCTGAACAGAAAAGCGACCACTTTCTGGAAGGTAGGACGTGCGGAGAAGTGAATCCGAGGCGATATTCGGGAAGATAGATGGCGGGGGAGGGGGCCTCCATCCGCCACTTCTGGCAAGTGATAGAGCCGCGGAGTGCAAAATCGGAACTTTTAGAAGTCGGCTCCGCTGAGGGACGTCACTCCAGTGGCTAAGCAGGGGGTGGAACCCTCGTGGGACAGTGTGGTCTCAGGACCCTCGGGGTCACAGAAAGACTGGGGGTGCCTGAGTGCAGCAGAGCTCCCAGGGATTGGAGCAGAGAAGCTGGCTGCAGAGACAGAGCCGAGGAGTGGGCTCTCAGCTCAGGGTTGCCATAAACCCTGATCGGGGCACAGTCAGGCCACTGCTCTTCCAGCAGGGACCCAACAAGCGGCAGATCCGGGGAGACTCCCCTTCCTCCCCCGGGAGGAGTGGTGCAGGAGCACACCGCAGGGATCTGCTGGGTTTGGAGACTCCACATGGGGTTGGGTGCCAGAGATAGAAATGCTCAGTCACAGGCCGGGTAAGCACAGAGTGCGGCCAGAGACCGGGGAGACAGATGGGAGTGATTGACTGCTTTTCTCTGGGGGCGCACTGAGGAGTGGGGCCCTGAGTTCTCGGCTCCTCTGGGGTGGAGATTGGGAGGCCGACATTTTCACTCTCCTCCTCCAAAGCTGTACAGAGAGCTTGCAGGGAACAAAAGCTCCCAAGAGCAAACCCGAGCAGATTACTTAACTGGGACCAGCAAGGGCGGGGCAATTCCACCTCCGGCAAAGACATTTGGGAACCACGTCAACAGGCCCCTCCCCAGAAGATCAGCGAGAACAGCCACCCAAGACCAAGTTTACCAATCAATGAGAACGGCAGAACTCCAGCGCTAGGGGAATATTGCACATAGAATTCATGGCTTTTTTACCATGATTCTTTAGAATATGTACTGCCTCTTGTTCTTTTTATTGGTAACAATGACCCCAGAAAAATATACACTAAACAAATCAGAAGAGACCTGAAACCAGGGGAAAAGAAAGGGAAAGAAAGAAAAAAGAAAAAGATATAAAAAAACAGAATATGATCAAATATGATCAGGCTGGTGCATAGATCTTTCAAAGTTAATTTTTTTAATTTTCTTTTTTCTTTTTTTTTTTGGATTTTTATTTTTCCTTTTCAACCAACATCTTATCAATCCCTTTTTTAAAAAAAGTTTTTTTCATTTTTAGAATCATATTCTATCCCTTCATAGTAGTTAACCTTATTTTTGATATATATATAAGTTGTTCTCTCTTTAAAAATTTGGGATGCAGTTTCTTCTAACAGACCAAAATATACCCTAAATCTCTAGTGTATGGCTTTGTTCTAGTCTCCTGCCTGATCACATTCTCTCTCTCTTTTTTTTTTAATTCTCTTCTTTCTTTTTTCAACCAGCTTCTTATCTTATCAATTCCTTTTATAAAATCTTTTATAATTTTCATCTTTACAGTCATATTCCATCCCTTCATCGTATTTACCCTTATTTTTGTACATATATAAGTTTTTCATTCTTCAAAATTTTGGGAGGCACTTTCTTCTAACAGACCAAAATACACCCAAAATGTAGTGTGTGGCACTGATCTATGCACCAGCCTGATCATATTTGATCATATTCTGTTTTTTTTTTATATCTTTTTCTTTTTTCTTTCTTTCCCTTTCTTTTCCCCTGGTTTCAGGTCTCTTCTGATTTGTTTAGTGTATATTTTTCTGGGGTCATTGTTACCATGTTAGCATTTTGTTCTCTCATTCATTTATTCTGCTCTGGACAAAATGACAAGATGGAAAAATTCACCTCAATAAAAAGAACAGGAGGCAGTACCGACTGCCAGGGACCTAATCAATACGGACATTAGTAAGATGTCAGAACTAGAGTTCAGAATGACAATTTTAAAGATACTAGCTGGGCTTGAAAAAAGCATGGAAGATATCAGAGAAACCCTTTCTGGAGAAATGAAAGAACTAAAATCTAACCAAGTTGAAATCAAAAAGGCTATTAATGAGGTGCAATCAAAATTGGAGGCTCTAACTGCTAGGATAAATGAGGCAGAAGAGAGAATTAGTGATATAGAAGACCAAATGATGGAAAATAAAGAAGCTGAGAAAAAGAGAGATAAACAACTACTGGATCACGAGGGCAGAATTCAAGAGATAAGTGATACCATAAGACGAAACAGTATTAGAATAATTGGGATCCCAGAAGAAGAAGAAAGAGAGAGAGGGGCAGAAGGTATAATGGAGCAAATTATAGCAGAGAACTTCCCTATTTTGGGGAAGGAAACAGGCATCAAAATCCAGGAGGCACAGAGACCCCCCCCTCAAAATCAATAAAAATAGGTCAACATCCCAACATCTAACAGTAAAATTTACAAGTCTCAGAGACAAAGAAAAAGTCCTGAAAGCAGCTCAGGACAAGACAGCTGTAACCTACAATGGTAGAAACATTAGATTGGCAACAGACCTATCCACAGAGACCTGGCAGGCCAGAAAGGACTGGCATGATATATTCAGAGCACTAAATGAGAAAAATATGCAGCCAAGAATACTATATCCAGCTAGGCTGTCACTGAAAATAGAAGGAGAGATAAAAAGCTTTCAGGACAAACAAAAACTAAAGGAATTTGCAAACACAAAACCAGCCCTACAGGAAATCTAGAAAGGGGTCCTCTAAGCAAAGAGAGAGCCTAAAAGCAACATAGACCAGAAAGGAACACAGACAATATACGGTAACAGTCACCTTACAGGCAATACAATGGCACTAAATTCATATCTTTCAATAGTTACCCTGAATGTAAATAGGCTAAATGTCCCAATCAAAAGACACAGGCTATCAGATTGGATAAAAAAACAAGATCCATCCATATGCTGTCTGCAAGAGACTCATTTTAGACCCAAAGACACCCCCAGATTGAAAGTGAGGGGGTGGAAAACCATTACCATGCTAATGGACACCAAAAGAAAGCTGGGGTGGCAATCCTTATATCAGACAAATTAGATTTCAAACCAAAGACTATAATAAGAGATGAGGAAGGACACTATATCCTACTTAAAGGGTCTATCCAACAAGAAGATCTAACAATTGTAAATATCTATGCCCCTAATATGGGAGCAGCCAATTAATTAATTACAATTAATAACAAAAGCAAAGAAACACATCGACAACAATACAATAATAGTGGGGGACTTTAACACCCCCCCTCACTGAAGTGGACAGATCATCTAAGCAAAAGATCAACAAGGAAATAAAGACTTTAAATGACACACCAGACCAAATGGACTTCACAGATATATTCAGAACATTCTACCCCAAAGCAACAGAATACACTTTCTTCTCTAGTGCCCATGGAACATTCTCCAGAATAGATCACATCCTAGGTCACAAATCAGGTCTCAACCAGTACCAAAAGATTGGGGTCATGTATGGAATTGTTGAATCACTACATTGTATACCTGAAACTAATATAACACAATGTTAACTGAATCGAAATTGAAATAAAAGTTAATAAAAACAGAACTTTACATGACATCATTAATTTATATACATATATATATATTTATAGATTTTACCTATTTGATAGAGAGAGCACAAGTGATGGGGAAGGGTAAAGGGAAAGGGAGAAGCAGACCTCCTGTTGAGCAGGGAGCCTGATGTGGGGCTTGATCTCCCAGGACTCAGAGAGTATGACCTGAGCTGAAGGCAGATGTCTAACCAAATGAGCCACCCAGGTACCCCAATTTATATGTTGAACAATAAAATAATTCTACTACTTATATCTTTTGCTATAACAATTATAAATAATTAACTGAACATGTGAATAATTTCACTTGACTCCATGATTACCATATGTTCTCATGTGTATGTATTCATATATACATGTATGTGTCTGATCTTCATTTACAAATATATATTATACATATGCATTTTCAAGCTTCTGAATGGCTCAGAAGAAAAGATGATAAAAGAAAAAAAAAATGTCTTTTTAGCCAAAATTTAGAACCTGGCATTCAAAGTATGAAACTCACCAATGCACCAGGATGTTGTGTCAAGAATATCAGCCTTGCAATCAGACAAAACTAGATTTGAATTCTAAATCATATTTACTTTACAGAGTTACCATAAAGCTTAAATAATAGCTTGTCAGTTCATGAACAAAGTGCCAGAACATGGCAGGCCCTCAATAAATGTTGGTTCCTTTTTCTTTCTATTAGAACAAGACCAGAAACTCTTGCAGGGCAGGAAGGGCTCCCTGTCATCTCTATATCCACAGACTCTAGAACATAAAATAAATGTTCACAGTTAGTAGAACCAATGATCCCATGAGTCATTTTGAAATAGTAATAGTGCTGTGATTGGCTAGCAGTGGCCATGAATGAAAGACTTCCCTTTCAGCAGGCTTTGAAGGCATGGCTTTGGGGCACCTCTGGACTATGACATGTGGAAGGAGACTTAATGAAAAATGTGTTCATCCCAAAGGAGCTGGGGTGATTTCAGTGTCAGCTCTGGCAGCAACTTTTCATACTGTGTACTCCCAGGATTCAGTCCGTTGCCAGACCCACGGTGAGTTTCAGCCTGGAGTTAAAAGGGTAGAAATGCCTTCTCTGAGGATAAAGAGTCTATACACAGATTCCAGAAATGAATTTCCAGTCTGTTACACTTATTCTTCACAATTTGCAAGCAAAAAGGCAAGTAAGGCAGAAGAGTGGATGCAAACTGACAAGCAAGTGTCGTGGTCTTTTGTGCTAGGCAGGAAATAAAAGCAGAGCTGGTGTCTTGAAAGACACAGAAGCTAGGAAAATAAAATGAGTAAGTAGAAACTAAATTTTCTGACCACTGAAGCAACCCCTTATGGGAAAATGTTGTATTCTTTAATTTGGATGCTAACCACAATATAAGTACCTGTCCCAACCTATAAAACAGTAGAAAGATTCTATTCCTTCTGAGGCCTATCTTTGAGAGGAAAGGAAGGGGAATATTAATCCTTCCTTGGATC